CTAACCCTTCCTCACTACAATATTGGAAACTTTACAACTTTCTCTCTTTGTGTTTTTAATTTTTTCTTTTTTGTAAATATTGTGATGTAGTAGATATCGATTAATAAAAAAAAGGCCAATTAATAAGTATAGGTAATCATGCGATGGCGAGTACAATTAGGGATTAATAGTACGAGTGATGTTTGGAAATTTTGCCAAAATTGGACGAGCCGCCTGGGCGAGTTCAATTTGGCAAATTTCCAAACATCACAAGTACTATTAATCCCTAATTGTACGAGCAACATCGCATGATGCCTACAATGCAATATAGTAATTGCGAAAACAGTAAACATTTTGAAATGTGGTTATTCAACGTTTTGACTAGATTTTAGTCATCATCAGGAACGATGAACTTATTACATATCAGTATTTATTATATAGTAGAGAGTGAGATACTGAAAAATACACAGGGAGATATTTTCCATATCTTCAACTAGTGAAGATATCGATGACGTGACTTTTTCCAAATTCCTGAAATATTGCATGTATAAATGGACCTTTCCCCTTGTAACTAAAATTTCGATCTAGACAAAAATTTCATCACAGCTTGAAAGAGCATCACAAAATTCGTGATATTCCAAAGTTTTGTTGCAAAATCTTGTAAAATGCGGATAATATAGCCTTGCGAAGTTTGCCATTTTTCAGTCATTTTGTATTACGCACGGGAAATTGACATCCGATTCGGGTGTTGGGGCTGCAATTTCCCGTTTGTAATGCAAAATGACTGAAAATTGCAAACTTCGCAAGGCTCTATTTTACTCATTTTACAACATTTCGCAACGAAACTTTGGAATATTACTAATTTTGTGATGCTCTTTCAAGCTGTGATGAAATATTTGTCTAGACTTGCCTAAATCAAAATTTTGGTTATAAGGGGAAAAGGTCTATTAATTCTGTATATTTCAGCTTTTAGCTGCTACTCAGATTAACATTTCATTAAAATTCAAATTCAAAATATTGTTTTCACCACTTGAAGATAGATGTCATATCTTCGCGCCGCCGTGTAATATCCTCTATATATATATACAAGTGAAGAAGTATGAAAAATACAATCTAGTGAGATTTCCAAAATCCTGATATTTACTCATTGAATTTGTCAGTGTTTGATGGCAAAGCCAAAGACATTGTATCATATACTATCCAATTTATTACCATGTGAGCACCATATCAAAGGCTTGGTGAAACCCACCTATATCCAGCAGTGTAGGCTAACTTGTTTTTATGACAAGGCCAACCAGTCAGATTAGAAAAATGTACAATTTCTGACTATATACTGCCTGTCACTTGTCCCAGTCTCCCAAATAAGTAATAAATTATTGTCATTCCTCCGAAGATAAAAGCGACATAAAAAGTGGACATAAACCTCAGTTTAAACTCTTCCCACCCAAATAGAACTACAGATGTCAGCGGAAACCAAAGATTGGTTATCACCGCTTCAATACTGTCACCAATTACGCGAAGTCTTTTTTAATACAGAAAATGGTAAACTGTTATTGTCAACATAAAGAAACACCATTATGAAAACCGCTGAAGGAAATATGGCGAACGTAAAAGTTGTAAACGAAAAACTCATCCGTTCAGTCGAAACACCATCATTATCAAGCGTTGTATAATCTGCTAACTGTTCGTTGGTATGAGAGTTTCCGTATTCTTTATTGATATAGGTTTGCCATCTGTCATCATCAGCCTCAGACTCTTCCGATACGCGTCGGCGTGGACGTGGCGTTTCGTCCAAGACAAGCGAAAATAATGATAAAATCATGTCAATTATTTCTTCCAACATACTGGTAGATTGATATAAAAATCAGGGTTCGTAGTCTCCAAGACCAAAAAAATTCAAAGATTTTTTCTGCCTATTTTCAAAGACTTTTCAAAGACCTTTGAGAGCAATCAGCTGTCGAAAAATTGCAAGTGTAAGCACCATTTTTACCCAGTAATTAGTCCCGTCAAATCACATCCTAAAATGCACTTTTTCGTCGATATTTGCGAAAATCTTGGTTCAATCAATCTATTCTATTAGCTAGGAAATCGTATAATCAATTCCTCACTAAAGAATTTAAAGACTTTTAAAGACTTTCTTCGCTTTTTCACACAATTTAAAGACTTTTCAAAGACCTCAAAGACATGCATTCCAATTTAAAGACTTTCAAGGATTTCAAAGACCGCTATACGAACCCTGATAATTTCACATCAGAATGAAGTCAATGAACACGATTTAGTTTGCTGGACAACGGATTCCTGTTTCCGTTACTTTCCCCATGGAGTTTCGAATTTCGATAAACAACACCTGCATGACATTTGACGAAGTGTCAAGTGACAAACGCTTTCTTTTGTATATTCCAATTCATTTTGTATTATTAATCCATTCAACATGATTTTTCCCCTCCATTTCAAGGCCAATACTAAACCTATTTCAAAAGTGTTAAGAAATAGGAAAATATTTCTATGGTATCTGAGTATTTGTATGAATTATGGGAAAAAGAAACATTTGTTCTTTTCGTTCGTGTACTAAACGTAAACAAGGGTACCTGCAAGGTACTGCAAAAGGAGGTCGACGAAAAAATTTTTCCTATTATTCGAAATTCCGCGTTACTTTTACATATTTCTGGTGTTTTCAAATACTGTTCCACGACCAGAAATTGTACAGAAAAATGGCCATGTCGCTGCTCATTCAATCCATGACATTGTGGGCTCAGTCAAGAATTTTCCCGTGCTTTTTTAAGGACCGCCTGCCATGCAGGCTAGAGATGGCGATTCATTTATATAAAGTGGATAAATGCGCATGCAAGCTTGTGTTACACAAACAAGGTTTGGTATAAGCCTTGAGAGTTAAATAGATTACACGTGATTTTGCAGTGTGTATAGCTATATTCGTGAGCTTCACCAAGAGGGAACAGTGCAATGCGCGGCTAAATGGACCTATTCCCTAATGAACAAAATTCTTATCTAGACAAGTCTAGACAAAAATTTCATCACAGCTTGAAAGAGCATCACAAAATTAGTAATATTCCAAAGTTTCGTTGCGAAATGTTGTAAAATGCGGATAATATAGCCCTGCGAAATTTGCAATTTTCAGTCATATTGTGTTACGCGCGGGAAATACATACCCTTTTTCCGAAGGAGGTATATGTATTTCCCGCGCGTAATACAATATGACTGAAAATTGCAAACTTCGCAAGGCTATATTATCCGCATTTTACAACATTTCGCAACGAAACTTTGGAATATTACTAATTTTGTGATGCTCTTTGAAGCTGTGATAAAATTTTTGTCTAGACTTGTTGAGATCTAAATTTTAGTCAAAAGGTGAAAGGTCCATTACATTAGTTCATCGATTGAAATTTCCAAAATCGTGATATTTACCCATTGCCTTTGTCAGTGTTTGATGGCAAAGCTAAAGAAATTGTATCATATACTGTCCAGTTTATTACGGCATGTGCATGAGCACCATATCAAAGGCTTGGTGAAACCCACCTATATCTAGCAGTATAGTTAACTTGTTTTTATGAGAAGGCCAATCAGTCAGACTTGTGTACTGTATTCAAAAAGCATATATCTTGAATTTCTATGTCCGCTTTTAACCGTCTATAATGCGGTGTATTCTGAGGCAATTCATTGATCTTTCGACAGCAAACAGTTCGATTCAAAGGCTTCAAAGCCACAAAAAGAAGACCTTTGTTAGTTTGTTTGATGTTGAGCTGTACACAGTGCACAAATCCTTTGTCCATAGAATAAAGATCCACATAGAAGGGCAACTTACGTCGGAAGCTTTGAAGTTTCTGTCCTCGCGCATGTCGCATTACGCATGTTGGCCGCCATTTTCCTAGCCAGTCAATGACATTTTCTGGCCAATAAACACGCTGTACTGGCTGGCTGCTCCGCCTTCTGGCCAGTAAACTGCATATTTTTGCATAAAAAAAACGAGGACACGTTGCACCGCTGAGTTGCCCTTCTGTTACTGATCTTTATTCTGTGCTTTGTCTCAACTTCATTAAATATTATTCATCGTGGACGGTTACTTCATTATACGAAAATACAATGAGCTCAATCAACATAACACAATGACTTCTGTTTAGTTTCCAGACCCGATCGTATCTTGATATAGACTATGCTTTGATAAACACCCAAAATAACATTTAGAAGTTGAATTGGCTTAGTTCAATTTCAGTAGTTACAGTATAAATTTAAAGTTAATTAATTAAAGCGATTTTTTGTCAAAGAAAAAATTTCTTAACACGATTCGTCTCGGAACAGCTCCTAACTGCTTAGCGGAATTACCCACCACGAAAAATACGTTAAATACGGAGCTAAACGATAAAATTGAAGTGTTCATTTAATTGGCACTCCGTTTGTCATGGTGAGTGAACATGCCGACGCGAAACTAGCACTTTAATCTGGGGTACTAATATTAAGCTGCTGTTTACACTACGCCACAGTAATCCGGTACGCGACGCGGAGCAAAAATCACTCCGCTTTGGAGGTGATATGAAAAGTAATCCGGTATGTGCCGGAGCAGTGTAAACAGGCTAATCCGGTACGCTTCGGTACAAAATCGGTTTTGGCGAGTATGTTTTAACATTGTCGCCTTTATTTGCTCGCTTTTACAATACTTTATAGCTGTTGTTTGTTTCGCCTTGCAACCATTTACTATTTATGCCGAATACAAGTAAAGAAAACGATAATAACATTGACTTTTCGCTTTCGAAAGAGCAAAATTTAAACAAATACTCTAATATTTTGGATTAGAGCGAAACGAAGCAACGTCTGGCGGTCAAGTTTTTTAAACAAAGTTATACTTTACAAAGAAAACAGGTGTTACTTCTTGTTTTTAATAAGTTTTGGTATATATTGGCTACTTGTTTCCATAGCGACAGTGAAAGACATGAGCTGGCAACAGAGCGAAGTGGCATAGTGGCACCCTTGATTTTTTACTTCGGAGTAAAAATTATTCCGGTATGAAAAGTAATCCGGTATAGTGTAAACGGGGCCTAAATGTCTCCTTGACGACGTACAAATATTTATCATTGGTTTGTTAGGAAGGTTTTTAATTTGAATTCCGGCTTACCAGTTGGATTTTGACTTAATCTTCTCATTTTCTGCACGTACTTTCCCCTTAAAAGCCTATTTATACTACTCAACTTTTGCCTAAAACTGTCGCATGCAACCTGCTTACAACTCGAGTTGTACTGTGTAAATCAAGCACACAACTCACCTGCGACAACGTAAGCGAGATGTGTGCTTGATGGACACAGTACAACTCAAGTTGCAAGCAGGTCAGTTGCATGCGACAGTTTTAGGCAAAAGTTGTCCAGTGTAAACTCGGTCTTAACAAGCCAAAATATCCCAAACCATTTTTACCACAATGTATGCATGGTGTGCCAAATGTGAAGACAAAATGTATTGCAATGATATATTTTCTTGCAAATATTAAGGTTATTTTATTGAAAAACCACGACCTACAAGCGCAAAACAGACTGGACGCCGGTACATATCGTATAATGGGTGAATGGAAGCTGTTTGCTGTATAGTTGCAAAATAATACGAACAAATAGAATCCTGATTTGGAAAGAGATACAAACGGGCCATTCAACAATTACAATTCAGTGTCCCCTCCCCTAGTCATCACTTGTTCATATCACCCTACCTACCCCCCACATTAATTACGTAACTGTCATCTATACCCCCCTCCAAAAAGCAACATATTATAAATCTATTGTAACATCGTGAGGGCCGTACGCATATATAATGTCTATGGTTATAAGGCCAACCAGTCAGACTGGAAAAACGTACAATTTCTGACTATATGCTGTCTGTTAATTGTCCCAGTCTCCCGCGCTTGAAAAACCGAAAGAAGGACGGAGCTGAAGTATGACACTATCACAATGACGATGATGAAGTTAGCCAACATGTGTCGTTTCCAGTACTTCGTCCAAACGCGACCAACTGGAATATTGTAGTAATGGATCTCCACAAAATTTGAAAGGCAATTGAAAAAGAAGTCGATTCCAATGCCAATTACAACTCTAGTTAGGGATTCATAAAGGAAAGACCACACCGAAAGTTTAAAACTTTCTACAAAGTACAACACGAAGTAACCTTGGCTTAAAACAAGTGTACTGTATTCAAAAAGCATATCTTGAATTTCTATGTCCGCTTTTAACCGTCTATAATGCGGTGTATCTTGAGGCAATTCATTGAGTCTTCGACAGCAAGCAGTTCGATTCAAAAGTGAGATAAAGTATGTCCACAATTTCATCCGTATTCGATAGGTCGCCTTTTCCAAAAAGTTCAGAAAACCAGAGAACAGAGATAACCCAATAAAAAGCCAAATGCTTTTCAAATCTGCTTGCATTGTGCGGTATAAGAGTATGACACCACCTCGGATAAAGTATACTAAGACAAAACTCCGGCCGGGGTCTACAACCTCGGAACTTCGTCTCAACGCTATGTGCTTACAAATCACAGCAGGGATAATGGTTAATCCTGGCACCATCACAGCCACCAAAAATTTGCAACTTTCTTGTTTTATGCCATTAAAAAAAGGCACTATAGCGTATTTGTAGGTCAATGCCAGTACGGATGATACGACGATCTCTGTCGAAATTAAAGCCAAAATTTTACAGTTAGAATAGGACAATGTAGAATCGCTGGCTCGGATATTACGAAGCATTAGAATGCTACAGCAGATTATGCCAGAAAAGAACATCACATTTGCAGGATATCTGTAATACATGTGTGTATCGTAGACACCAAAAACTAGCAAAAATAAATAATAAATCACTATCGTTTCTCCAAAGATAAAACCGACATAAAAAGTGGACAAAAACCTCAGCTTAAACTCTTTCCATCCAAATAGAACTACCATTGTTAGCGGAAACCAAAGATTGGTTATCATCACTCCAACATTGTCACCGATCAAACGAAGTCGTTTTACAGAAAATGGTAAAGTGTTATTGTGATACTGCCACTCCAAACAAAGATCCGTTGTGTTTAAATCAATATAAAGAAACGCCATTATGAAAGCCGTTGGTACGAACATAGCGCACGTAATAGTCAGAGTTGTCCATAAACTTCTCCGAATCGACTCCCAATAACTCCTCCGTCCAGACGAAGTACCATCAAGCCTTGTATAATCTGTTCTTCTTCCATTAACCAAGACTGAGCTTAACTGTTCGCTGGTATGAAAGTTCTCGTATTCTTCATTGATATACGGTTGCCATCTGTCATCATAAACCCCTGGTTGATGTCTTCCTAAAGATACGCGTGTTGTTGCGTTGACGAAAAGCGAAAATAATGACAAAAACATGCCAGTTATTTCTTCCAGCATACTGGTAAATTGGTATAATTTCACATAAAATAAACACGATTTAGTTCGCTATTGCCGTTTTGTCGACTGTACTGATGACCCTTGACGAATTAGTGTGAAAGGACAAATATTTTTTTTTGAAAACAACAAATTTCATTAGCATGCCGACGTTTGTCTCTATTTCAAGGAACAAGGAAATATATAACTGCCAAACAGGAAGACGATGTAATCCGGCAATTGAAAGTGGGAAAGCGTTAAGCCTATAATCAATATACAAGAATATATTATGATTCTCACGCTCCAGTCCTTCCTCACTATAATATTGGAAACTTTACAAATTTGTCTCTTTGTGTTCTTAATTTTTCTTTTTTGTAAAGATTGTAATGTAGTAGATATCGAATAAACTGCATTCAAAAACTAATTAATAATCCATGAGGAAAACTCAAGGGAAAATCATAAGCGTGTCGTATCTTTATATGTGATAGAGATTTACCTATAGATTTACATAAACTTTAACTTTGATTTTCTCGACTTATACACAACGTATTTTTTGAAAATTTCTTTGCCAAAGAACTTACTATATATAGATCGATCGTTTTTGAAGCAACTTAAAACATTCGCAGTGCGTGTTTTATCAGACCTAAAGATACTCGGCTTCCCCTCGTATCTTTATATCTGACAAAACACTGCAGCTCAAATTTTCAAATTTTTTTTAAATAGTTGTGATACAAAAAATGGCCAATTAATACATTTATATAGATATGCAATTAACTACTTC